GAGGCTGCGGCAGAAGGATGAGTTGCTGGATCGGGGCAGGGTCAGCGTCCCCTTCGCTCTGTTCCTCTGGAGCTTACGAGCCTGAGCATTTATATCTACAAGGAGGCAGAGAGGAGGAGTGAGAGAAGAACAAGGAGAAGGGCAAGAGGGAGAACAGGTGGAGAATAAGAAGAAGGAGCAAAAGGGAGAGCAGGGAGATAGAGGTTGAGGATACAGTAGGAGAGAGAGGTACAGAGCAGAACATAAGAAGAAGGTTTTCTGTGCAATGTCAGCAGGTATGTTGGACTCATGAGTGAAGTCTGGATAAGGTACATAAGTGCATAGCAGTCATGTGTGAGCTGAGTGGAAACTGAGTAAAACAAACCAGTCAGATGAGGTCAATGTTGCTGGATGGAGCACAACATTAAACCTGATGAAAGTAAACTGAGTTCTTAATCTGAGGCCATGCAATGGCTCTGCACACACACACACTCACACACTGGTTGAATCACGGGCAATGGGGGTGGCGCTGGTGACAACGCAGGTAGAGGTGGTCTCCATGGCAACAATGACTAACAGCCACCCTACCTGAGGCCAGTCCCCACCTTTAGAGCTGGACTGTACCACTCGACCACAGCGCAGGGGGGAGCTCCTGTGTTTGCCCAGCCCAGACCGACCCATTAGAGCCGCCAGGAACTGGGAGGTTTTGGGCCCTACAGCAGGGTGGGAGGGGTTAGGGAGGCTGAGAAAACACCCCCTCCCAAAAACACCAAGCACAGAATAACCCCCATATACACAGCATCCGCACACCACAAGACATGCATGCACTGCGGAGCAAAACATAGTCTGTGGTGCTTTCAGTGAGTCACATCAGCAGTTAGTAAAGAGAAACTAGGCATGGGACGATATGAAGATTTTATATCACGATTAAACTGGCTTAAATAATTGTGATTCACGATATTATCCTGACAATCATCATAATATGCTTAAACCCTATGCTACATTTGGCACCAAAACATACTGAATCAGATCATTTCAAATGTGTTAACAAACAGACATTTTGATTGTGTCACTGATAGGAAAAACATCATTTTAAGTAAAAAATAAGCAATCAAACAATCTCAAATAAAACAACCATAGGGTTCCCTGGTCTTTATTAATAAAGGATAATTCAACATTTTGAGAATCTGTTCCTATTTGATAATTACTGTATTTTTAAATAAGGCTTCATTTTAAACTTCTCTACCATGATGGCTTTTTCACCTCGTGAGGGTTTTCATTGTGATCTGCGTTAAAATCATATATCGTCCCATTCCTAGGAGAGTTACAGTTAAAGGTATGAGGTACAGGATTTTTGCCAAACCATATCACTGTCAAATTATTAAGATATAGTTCTCAAAGTCAATCAACAACTACATGTATTCATTAGAAACTATAGTACATCATCCGCTTAGTAATTTCATTTTAGCCAATTTTGGTGTTTTGTCTTATTTTAGAACAATTGAACCAGAAGAAGTTATAATGTAGATCGCATGATTCAAGGTTGACATTACAATTATTTGCCAGTGATATGTCCGTAATGAAAATCCTACAGTACCTTTAAAGTGCGATCTCACAGTTTAAAACAGCGTGTTTAACAATAAACACAATTCCCACATGTGCATGCTCGCTCACACATACACAAGGGGAGAAAGAAGACAACAAGTGAGAAACATAATAGAGCGAAAGAGACTCCAGGGTGTGTGAGTTTTCTTATCACTATAACACAAAGGAGAAAGGGTTAGTGTGGAAATGAAAATATGGGTATTAATACGTTTTAGTTAATAAACAAGTTTTAACCCAGAAGGCATTCTTTGCTGTGAGTTTCAGTTTTTTGACAAATGATGAAAGCCAGCCAAAATAAGCACAGTAAGGAATGCTTTCAAAGGAGAAAGCTGCTGATAATCCATATTTGTGTTATTGCAACAACAAATTGATCCTATTAACAAGTATTGCATGAGTTGCCAAAGCCTGATAGCTTACTCCTCTGTGCCAAAGAGATCCATTGTTTCCCAAATGGTGCAACACTGAGTAACATGTTCCTTCAATACAAACACCACTGCAGCTTATTGCAGTCAATCCATGAGTAAAGTCTCACAAGCATACACGATGTGTATTTATGAAGTCTGAACCACCAAATGCACTATTTACTAGATTTTGAGAATGCTTTCTTAAAACTACAGTGACCAGCTTTTGTAGAAAAGGTTATTTTAATTATTGACTTGACTTAAAAAGAATACTATATTTTTGATACGGACAGTGTAGTTCAGACAGCCTTGAGAGATGGTCTAAGAGGCTAGGGCTTTTCAATGGAATTATTGATCTTTAGAACAAATATAGAACAACACTAACTTATCACTTCTCATGGCTACTACGGGGTTGGGAATCATATCAGGAGGGAATAACATTGAAGATCATGGTTTTGTTTTGACCTCACACTTTTCATTATAACTCGGATCAATGCGATGAATCGAACAAGAAAATACTAATTACTGTTCATTTGTAAAAGACTTAATTCAGTGTACAAAAACATGATTTACCCATACACCGTATAAACCTCTGTGACGTCAAGCATAGGTTTCTGAAGTTCAGTTGTGAAGCTCAATGAGGGAGGCTCTGACCGGCGCCATTTTTGCAGCGGAAAAACTGCCCAATGCACGTCTAATAAAAAAATTGACAATGAGTTGGATCTTAGGTGCAGCTGAGGTCGCCTGGGTGACGCAACCGTGGTCAAAGAGCACACACCTCACATTCAAAGCAGCCTGCCCTTAATTACGCACAGCTTTAATATGTTATATTATTTCAAACAAGTGAGCATATAACAATTCACCTTCACACGGTTGTCATTAATAGAAAATTAGCTAGCTATAGAGACCAGCCCATAAAAATCGAAACCAGGCAGTAAACATCTTTATTTCAGCTGTAAAGATGGGCATTTCAACATGGCGACCTTTGGAAATGACTCGCTTTGGAACCAGCCTACCAGCCGAAGGTTGACTTTTGATGAACTGCTGTTTCTGGCACTTTCATATTGGCTTCATTTCAGCACTGGAGGTTGCAGAAAACATGCTATATATTGTGATTTATATGGTTATCAAAGTATGAAATACCCTATATAATAATGGAAGATTTGCCCAGTTCTAGCGTAAAAATTAGAAAGGATTGTTGACTAGCTCTCTGGCAACCACACAAGTTGACATAGCAACCAGTAAACCGTGGCATGCTGAGAAATGTTAGTGTAGCTGCAACGTGTGACTGTGAGGCTGAAAATACTTCCTCTACCTCTCTGAACTAGGGATGCCAGCGATTAATCGATTAATCGTTACAGTCTCCATAATCGATTATTATTTTTAAAAATCGATTATATATTTTTTAATTTTTTTAATTATTTAATTTTTTTTTTTTCTGGCTTAGTTTCAACCAAAATATAGACTAATGCTAATAATAGTAATAGTATTAATAATTGTAAATGGCCATTGGTCACACCACCAGTTTGTTTTACTGTAAACTTGGAGGAAGCCTGCGTGCACAGCAGACTGCTGCTGCAGCACGCTACACACCGACCCCGCCCCCACCCCCCCTCTCCCTCACACGTGCGACTAAAGATGAACAAAGCGGCAGGTAAAAAGAGTTCCTCCTCGTGGAACTACTTCGAACTTACAAGTCCAAAGGAAGTTAAATGCAAGCTCTGCGAAAAGACGTTGGTCTATCACAGCTCAACCTCAACAATGCGTTCGCATTTGAGTGCGAAGCAAGCCAAAGAGGTTACAGAGAAAGACGCAGCACAGCCGGCCATTACCAACTTCACTTCAAGGCCACGTCGTTGTGATGACATGCGTGCAATGCATGTTTGTTGTTTGTACTGTTAAACATGTTCCAGTAAAGAAAACAACGGATTTCCTTTTGTCTGAGTTTTTTTTTTTTCCTCCCGCGGGGGGGGGGGGGGGGGGGGGGGGGTCGGTCGATTAATCGATTATTAATCGCCAGGGCTGCCGATTAATCGATTTTAATCATGGTCAGTTTCTGGCAACCCTACTCTGAACTAGCTGGGTGTTTATTAATGACTTCAACAGGGATGAGTGTGTGTGAAACATCCATCAGTAAATCAATCTATGTAAAGGTCACTTTATACACCAACAGACATACACAGATAAACAGTCCATTCATATTGCTGCATTGCAGATGGGAAGTCATAACCGTAGTTTTTACGAGTTCTTAAAATTACAAATGTACACATTATCAAATTAAATCTATCTACACATAAATGAAATCTCTCGCTGAAAATCAAATATCACCTGAGCAGTTCAGGAGTTACACAGGGCTGATTGATATTGTGTCTGTAGTCAAAATGTGTCATTCATAAAAAAACACTAGAGTGCCTACACCCATCGACACCTCAGTCGCAAAGGATTCAGCTTTCACTCAATCAATCGACCAGCTGCCTGTGCATTTCCACTGCACTGCTAGGTGTGTGTTCACTTTTGTGTGTGTGTGTTTCCTCAAGTGCTCAAATACCCACGCAAGTGTGTGTTTCTATTAAAAACCCAAATTAAACAAGTTCTTCGCAGATCAATCCTTCACATGAACACACACACACACACACACACACACACACACACACACACACACACACACACACACACACACACACACACACACACACACACACACACACACACACACACACACACACACACACACACACACACAGCAGTGGAACTAATGAGCGGTGCTTTTCTGCTGAATTTGACATATCAAGAAAGAAAGGAAATTAGACCAGCTGCTTTTTGCGTGTTTATGTTTGTGTATGTGTGTGTTTGTACCTGTCTTTCTTTATGTGTCTGTTTGTCTTAGTGTGTGTCCTCACCAGCAGTGATGGTGTCCTTCTCTTTGGCGTTGAATTCCTCCACCTCTGCCCTCCTGCGCAGCTCAAATCTGCGAGCGTGTCCCTCTCTGGGTTTCCAAAGCTCCTGGAGCAACAGCGGCTTTTCGTTGTCCCCCATCGCACGCAAGCATTCGGTTCGCCACCCCCCTTCTCCTATCCCACCTTCCCCCTCCAAACGCCCAATGACGTCGCACAGGACGTAAGAGTGGGCAGCGTTCTTGTTGAGAGAGTAACGGTCGAGTGCCTCTTTGACCAGCTCCTGGGCACTGGAGCGCGGCGTGGCCAGGACGCTCTTGTAGTTGGCACCGGCACAGATTTCATCTCCAAAGATCTTCAGCACCCCCGGGGCCGAGCTCTGCGTGGAGAGTTCGGCCGGGTCGTCCGTCGGTCGCTCTGGGGGTTCAGTCGTGGAGCGCCTGTCCCCACGAGTGTTTGTTCCAGTTTCTACTGGGACACGGTCTCTGTAACTCAGAGTGCGGTACAGGACCTGGGGAACAGACAACCAAAGCTGAATGCACTGTAGGGCCACTTCATCACAGACTATGTACAGTCTGTGTTTTCTACAATCTCACCAATTGGCCTCCAGTGGTAACCAGTCATGCACACAGTTTTGGTTTTATTTGCCAAGGTTTAAGAGTATCTAGTTTTGAAATACTGGGGAGGTAGCATACATTACGTTTAACAAAGACAAAGTGTCTACAGCCATACTAGCAGCTACTCAATCACAGAGGAGAATTGAGCAAAATGAGCAAAAACCTAACATCAGCATGCTCACGTGAGATTGTTGAAAATGCAGATTATTTGCAGGAATAATATTTACCATGTTTGCCATCTAAGTTTGGATTGTAGCATGCTAACATTTGTTATTTACACAAGGCATCGCTGAGAGTAAAAGGTGGTACAAGACGGATGTTTTGCAGATATTTGATCATAAACACCAGTATTGGACAAAATTGCAGGGTTGTACTTTATGGTTTGCAGGGATCAAGTAATTATTATCAACTTGAGGCCAACATACTTGTGTGTAGCTGGCGTAGCACTTGATCAAATAAGTGGTGAGATATTTCATTGCGGAGTTTGTGGACTGACTGACTGATCAACGTTGAGTCATGCTCTTAGCTAGGGGATACAAATTGAATGTGGGTTTCCAGAAACAGTATCACAGGTATACTTAATAATACATCTCAAATATTGCAAGACCTCAGCCAATAAAGCCAAATATTTCTACTAGGAAGTATACCAAAGGCAAGTGAGAATTTGAACTGGCCCTTTCATCTTATAGGTAGATAGACTTCACTAAAATATTTGTTTTATCTTGAAATTGAGAGAGCGAAATACTAAAATGGCAGTGTGTGTGTGTGTGTGTTTGTGTGTACCTGTGTGAAGGTCCTGCTCTGGCGTTTCAGGCGGCTCTTGGACGGCAGGGACATACTGGCCCCGGAGGAAGAACCGTAGAACATGATGCCGCTTTTGGCTTCACAAACTCCACAACTAGGGAGCGATGAAATACATTTCAAATGATATATTTGACTCCAGCGTGAAGGATTCAAATATTTACACAAACAAACTCATCTGCAAAAAGTCCATGCATAAAAGTTGATGATGGACTCACGGCTACATCTTACACTTACTTGTTGAACATTTGTAGATCTGGAAGGTAAACAGAATCTCCCCTAAATCTATTATGTACAATATATTGACCGAAAACAGACCATGATAATTAACAAGTTGTGTGGTGTGAGTGTGTGTTGTGAGTGTGTGTGTGTGTGTGTGTGTGTGTGTGTGTGTGTGTGTGTGTGTGTGTGTGTGTGTGTGTGTGTGTGTGTGTGTGTGTGTGGTGGATACCTTGATGCTGTTATCTATTATCACTCCAATCTGCGGCAGCACCCGGTAAATGTTTGCAGTTGTGGGTCAGATGCTTTTCATTGCATCACCTTTCACACTGGAGAAGAAAGACAAGACGATGTTAATGTGAGTTTATGAGTTGAAAGCAGAACTGAAGCCTTTCTGCTGAGATCAGGATCGTTGAGGTTGTTGTTTGCCAACGCCCTGTTACATAAAGTACCTCAAGTTTAAAACTTAAGTTTGTCTCATTTATGAGCGTGAAGCATCTTGGGTTGAGTGTTTTTACTAAGGCTATACATTCCTTTAACATAAGCTTACAGCATTATTGTCGGTGTGAGCTATATAAGTTATAATACAAATATATAATATGTTTTGTATAAAATAAGATAAATGTTGAAGATAGACTGATAGTCAATTCATCGAGTTGTGCATCACTCATCGTGTCCAGAGGGTTTTCCTTTTTCCCTATCCGGAATAATGCATGTTAATATCTCCTCCTCTTTATTCACAATAAAGACGGCCGTTGTATTATGCTTGACACATTATTTCACTTTTAGGAGACTTGTATGCTAGCGCAAACTAAGGACCTCCTTGCAACACATAAGGGAATACTAAAGTAGCTAAGAGCGCACACTTTCAGATCAAAAGCTTTTCCCCCCTTAACATCCAAAGGAAATCCTTATGGAGATTTAATGCAACTCATATTTTCTTGAAGCATCCTTCAAAAAAATTAAGGAGCACCTTAGGCTGAGTGATTTTATGCAACCAGGCACGGATCCTTCAGGGATTCATATAATATCGCTGTGGCTCAAAGATTCAAGTGTCAACATTTCAAATCATATTATTGCCTGCCCAACAATTCTGGGCCTCGACAGTGACCCCTCCCCCCCCCCCCCCCCCCCCCCGACAATTCACGAGCGTCGAGCTCTTCCTCATAATTTCCCGGTCAAATCAAGTGTCCCAATCCGACCCTTCTGATATACATAGCCTTTCTCTTCAGAATATACTAGTTTAACCCACAGTTTCAATGTATCTTTGATGACTCACTACTATATCTTTACATTTTTTGTATTATTATTATTATTTTTTATTAAATAAATGTTTACTTATTAAGATTTCTTGTTTTCTCTAAAAAAAAAAATCGAAAACACTACATTTTCAAATTCTTAGAGAAGTCTCAGTTGTTGATTGAAAAGCTGGAATGAACACAGGTTTGCCATTTTTGCCAATTCATCTTCTGGTTATCCACTCAATCAACATCATTTCATTGCTTGTTTCCAGTTCTTGACTGTGCAGCATTGTTTCCCTTGCATGCACCACATTTTGTTGTATTCTTCTCCTAGCCATCTTGTGATCTCAAATTTGGTACTACAGATTGTATAAAGCACAAATGAAGAAATGCTATGTCTGCCTGGAATCAGGTCATGCATTTATCTCATTTAACAGGTCTGTTTGCAGCCCATGTCACTGCTGGAGAAGAGTCACGCTTCATTCTTGGCTCTGCATGAACCCCTTTGACCGATCAAGCCTTTTCATGAAGGTAACATCAGCAAGCACCTCCACATTTTAAAGCCACTGTGGCAGCACCTCACACACGTCTGTTTTGATTGCAATTTGTCATTTATATTATTTCCTTTCAGCAAATAATTGGCAGGCAGCCTAAAAGGTGTTGTTGTAGCTGACTGGTGGGATAACGTGACTATTTTAAATGCCTGCTAATCCACTGTAATCTGGCTACTTGGCCGCAGTTAACTCAATCCTGGGACCAACAAACCCCTTTGGTCCACACAAGGAGACAGAGGCCTACATTTTGCATTGGCAGGTTGTGTTTTGTGACCCAGGAGGTAGTGTTACATTTGGTTATCATGTCACACAGACTACAACTTCCCCACCACCTTTTTTTGACTTGCTGTCTGTCCTTGTCTAGACAGCTAGAAGGTCAGATATAAACGTTGCGTTGGGGGAAAAACTTGACACCAGTAAAACATGCTGGATACTATTGTACAGATTACAGAACGTTTGATTACTACCGAGTCTGCCCTTTATTCGGTGCCTGTCCGTCTGTTTACGACTTTGGACTCAGTGGTCGTCAGTAGCAACCGCCGTGGCAACAAAAGGCAGGAGAAAATCCTCAGAAATTAATCCGCTGATGAGTCGTCAGGCGCGGCACTAAAAGCGAGCAGCCCCGGCCTCTCCCGGTCAGCAGGTGTGTGATGTTTGAAGTCGAGCCAATCAAACACAATTAATAATCAATTAGCGGGAACACTGTTTCGACACGTGAACACTCAACCACGACGATACAATTGGTGATTTTAAACTATAAGGGTGATAAAAGCTGTGGGGGGTCTGCCCTCAAATAAAATAGACCCCGAAAAAGTTGTGAGAGCCCAGCAGTGGCAAACCCACTCCCCTGAGGGCTCTCCCGGGTGTCTGTTGCGTTTGTACTCACGCTGCCTGCAATGCGTGGCTCCATAGTGCTGGGGAATCCTTCTTGGTTTCTCTCTCATTCCTCCTCCCTGTATAAGATAGAAAATCCCCGGAAAAATAGGAGGGGGAAAAAAAAACAGCGAGCGACACCGAGACGTCCGGGGCCGCCACACTCATCCCCAAAACAGCCCGTTAACTTGGATGACTGCCAACCGTGGAGGGCTCCAGTTTCTGTACGCACATCTCCGCCGAGTGTCCAGCAATGCCCGCTGCCTCCGGCAACCGCATTCCCACATCCACAGCGGTTCACTGCCGAGCCCAGCCGGAAACACCCGAGTCCTCCGAGCCGCCTCACCTCGGCGCACCTGCTCTGGCACCAGAGTGCACGGGGACGGCGCCCCCTGGCGGACACCGGCGGTACAACATGGAGGCATGTGGACCAATGGAGATCCAAATACTTAAACATGAACTAAATACAATTACGAAATACCTTTTTATTTTTAATATATCTATTTAACCATATTTGCTTTACCAATAAGGGCAATGATAGTAAACGTCATATACGTTTGTTTTAAAATACAATTTATTTGCTATAGGCCTATGTGCAGTAGCCATAACAGCCTAGGTGACATGCTGTTTGATACTCATGGTACCTGTCACTGTAAATAGAGTTTGTAAACTGTACCCTGTACATTATGTTGTATGTCATCCTTATTGTTGTTCTGTTGTTTTTATGTTACATGTGTAACTAATGTCCTGCAGGTCACCCTTGAAAAAGAGATCTTTTGATCTCAAGGGGCTTTCACCTGGTTAAATAAAGGCTACAAACAAACAATGTATTGTGACTATTCATATTTATAAAAAAACATTAACATGAGATGTGTGATCCCAAATGTTTTTGAATACAGCCTCATTCACCTCACCTGAAAGTTTGGTGTATTAAAAATACGCTGAAACGGGTTAAAACAAAAACATTCAGATATCATACAACGATCCAAAGATCAGTCTAAATAGATAATTCATTTAATTGTATATTTGCTTTAATTTTATGATAGGTAGTTAACAACAAACTGCTAAAGTCTTACCTTCAACAGCTTCTGAAGACAAAACAGGCTTTTCCAATCAAAACTGACAAATACAAACAATGTCAGTATATGGCTATGCATATGACATGTTTATATACTTTTTCTTCTCCCTTAAGGTTACACAATAACAGTATTTGAAACATCAAAGTGTATAAAGACAATAACATATCCTTGCATGCCCGTAAGTATGTTTTTTGAGTTACTGTGTGTATTGAGTTGTTGGTTGTTGTCTTTTAAATATATAAGTAAATAAAATATATAAAACTCATGAGTCCAGGCATATACTGCATGAAAAAGCTTTTTTATTACAAGAGAAATAGAAAAGATAAAAGCATTGTTGGCGTCATAAAGGCGTATCACTTCACAAAGCACCACAGACACGAAGTAAAACCAATATGATATCTAAAGAGAAAGAATATGAGCTAGTATAGTCTTGTACGACCAGAAAGAAAAGACCAGCAGCACTGAGAACAGAGTCAGCAGCTCCACAATCACAGAGCGTCTATAAACAATGTACAGAGGGTCCATGAAGGCTTCATGGAGAGTTTAGAAAACTCTATACAAAGTCAGGTGGGCACTGTATGTCTGAATGAGACAGATATCATAACCAAGACAAGACAGACACACGTAAAATCCTTAAATACTTAATTTTACCGTCACAAAACACTGGCTGTGTTAGGCTCCATTACCCCCGATTACTCCAAAACTGTAAACACTCAATCATTTGGTGTTTGTTCATAGGCTAACGTAAACACATAGTTCAAATACTTAAAGTACTTTAAATGTGAGAATATTATCTTAAGAGTGTCATTCCAAACTGAGATATCCACAGTGTGAAGAACATAAATTCCCAGGGATGATACATTTGTTCAGACATTAAATTACCGTAATGATTAAAAAAACGATAAAGTAACCAATGATAATAACAAGGTGTTTTTTTCAGGTGTTTGTTGGAAAGGTGTTGCAGAAATATTTGTGTTTTTGTCAGATGATTCTCCTTTTAGACCATAAAGTATAATAATGCATGTATATGCTGTTTGGTGAGTTGTAACTGTAAAATGTTATGGTTATATCGATGAAAGAACATTGCAACGTTTTTTCCCTCTATATCTACTGCACACATTATTGTTTGTCACAGTGTATTTTGTAGCAAATCAAATGCAGATGTTGCAGATTTTACAGCAAATCTAGAACGGTTGTGCAGCTTGAGTGTATGTATGTTCTATTTTAGTTTTATATTATAATCTTAAAAGACACATCTATGTAGTGGTTGTATGTCAAAGTCTATCTGGCTAGAGCTTTTCTACTGTTTGGTTATTTTATAAATATTATGTAAAGCTTCAAGAAAACTTTTGTGACTTCTGCCCTACTTAGGTAGAAAGCTGTATGGTGTGTTGCCATTACTTAAGAAAGCAGCTTCAAAGCTATTTGATAATTTTCGTTTCTGCAGACAACGCTCAAACAATCGGAGCAGCTTTAGTGGTCCTTGAATGTGGCTTCACAGGCTTTAAAGCCCAAATGATCCAAATTCTGGGAGACGGACAGCAGCAGAAATATGTTGAACAAGAGCAGAAGTTAAAAAGAAATCTCTTACACCTATGAATACTAGACGGTGTGACCTTTTGGTCCTCTAGCCACATGTATCACACTATACAAGCTCGCCTAATATACGTTGTGCCACCACATACAGCTTAACACTAAGAGTACATATATATGTCAAATATACTTTTTATGTGTTCAAGGTACATGCGTTCACGTGTAAACATAGACTCAGCCGATTACAGGCTTTGGATTCATGGGAGTCAGATATTATAGGATACATACAAAGACACACTCATACACTCTCACACACACACAAGCACACACAGACACACACCTGAGATGCCTTAATATTGGGCCAGATTGTTCAACAATACTATAGCTTCAGTTTCCTTTCAAGTGTGAGACGTTTATGGTAGTAGTGTGCTATCAGGTATGGCAGTAAGTCTTTTGGCAGTGTGGTCAGACAGTGGTTTTCCTTTCTGAGGTTCAACCGTGTAGCTTTGACAAACTCTATCAATTGGTCCCATTCCCATTCATTAAGTTCAATATGATGGATATAATCAACTGATACTTTTTAGTACATAAGAAAATATAAATGAAGTCAACATACACTGTACGTCATTAATACATATATACTGTATAAATTGTACTGATGATATCTTCACTCACTAACCCTAATGAACAACAGTAAATCATTATAATTCAGTTATTATGGTTGAAAATCTAATGAGTAGAACTTAGTTTAGGTAGAAGAACACAATTTAAGTCACCAAGACTAAAACCATAAATGCATGTTCAACATAAAAAAAGATAATTCCACAGTCATGGTTGATTTAGAAATCACGGTATATCACTGACTGAAGCAACTGCTGTTAACCCATATAGTAAATGTACTGCAGTGTATAGCACAACTAGTAACTATATAACAGTAACACTACTATCTAGGGTTCTGAATTGGAATAGTAAATGACTGATGTTGCAACCTCCTAAAGTGAATTTAACCAAAACCTGTTAATGATACTTGAAATTATGTCGAGAAACTAATTATGATAGTCGAGTCAGCTCATTGTAAACATTGTCCTCCTCTTGAAAATAAGACAATGTCCTCAATTCAGCATCTGTATCTGAATATGCACCACATAGAATAGTAATTCAACCCCTGATCATTGGAATGAAACCAAAGTTGCTGCAAAAATAACTTAATATTTAACTAAAGTACACTGGTTTGAAAAAAAACAAAAGCTTTGTCCCAGTTCACGGGCTGCCTCCTTTGAACTGCAGAGTTCTCAAAACAGACTGAAAGGCTGCCTCAATGCAAAGACTCCTCAGAATGTACCCTTCATTTGGCAAAAAAACCTGATGAACAACTCTCATTATCAATTACAGTATGCTGGGTAATTGCTTCGTGGTGCGTTCAGATATCTTCATCAACTCATCAGTGATGTTAATAATTGCAGGCAGTTAACAACTAGATTAATTCAAGTAATGTGGTTACATTTAACATTACACTAGTATACTGCCACACACTCAATTTGACCTAATAATTATTATGTCAATTACATAACATTTCCGGCCATTTCGGAGTGCAACTTCATGGTGTTAAACATGTTTCTTTACTTTACAAGTTGATGAGGATAACCTAAATGCACCTTTAATTTTTAAACCTGTGTTGCTTGACTGTCTTTTTGGTGAGAATGTTTTGCCCACTTGTTTTTCAAAGGAGGTAGCCACTGAATTGGTTCACTGCATGTATCACCCTCTTAAAGTTGCTCCAATACAGGAGCTACTTCCTGTGAGGTCAGCGCTGATGTCATCTGGAGGTCCGGACCTGATTCGGCGGCTGGGCGTAGAGGTACTTCCAGATGGCGTAGTAGTGTATGGAAGCTCCCATAGCTACGAACAGGTGCCAAATGGCATGAGCAAATGGGACGATGCCATCACTTTTAAAAAAGATCATCCCCAGACAGTAGCAGGCTCCGCCCGCCAGCAGCTCGTACAGACCAGACTGCTCCGTCTGCAAAGAGGCAGATTTTTTTTGTATGTTTAAAGACATTAAGAAAGGACAAAACCTCAAAGACACCAGGTGAGAGTAAATGAGTGTGCTCACCATTGAGAGGATGACCAGGGCCGGAAAAACTCCCATCACCATATAGCAGATAAGCTCCGTGATCTTATACCTGACACATAGATAAGATAAGATAAGATAAGATAGAGCTTTATTGTCTTCTTTAGGAGAAATTTGTCTTGGGCATCGAGATAATACACATTAAACATTCAGGTCAATCAGTCATAGATACAGAACAGAGATCCCATATCACATGGCAAAGAAACAAACAAGAAACATACAGGTACAGAACTTTCCCTATTGCACATATCGCTATTGCACATACATAATCAAATTGCACTTTCCCTATTGTATTTATACATAAATCAAATATTGCACTTTCCCTATTGCACCTATACATAGTGTCCGTCAAATTGCACATATCCCTATTGTGTCCATACCTATTTACACATAATGCACTTCCCCTATTTAACCTTCTCGATTGCACACACTACACTGTAAACATTGCACCTCCCAACATCTCCTAACAGCATAATCACAATTGTTTCTGACTGTTCAGCAGCTTGATTGACAGCGGAATAAAGGAAAACTTATACCTGTTCAATTTACAGTTTGGTAATCTATACCTTCTGAGGGCAGCAACTCAAACTCTCTAT